GGGGGGGGGGGCTTGGGGGGACTTAGTCCCCCCAAATATTGTAATAGCCCCCCCAAAATTTTGTCGTCTTTATGTGAAAATATATGATATATATATTTACTAATTGTACAGTACTTATTCGCGAATGTTCTCGTACGTTAGTGCTTATCGAGAACCTTCGAGAAACATTATATAATCGATAACGTCATAATATCTTTAAGATTATTCGAGAACAATCGAGAGCATTATCTCGCATCTATATATATCAGAAAAACTAAACCGTCAGTTACCAGTCCGCAGCATAGTCCCGCACGAAGTAACACGCGTCGCATTGTAAACAAGTCCGCCGCCGCCGCCGTCGCCGCTATACCTAGTGTGTTAATCTGTTTTAATAGTGGCTACTCCGTAATTATTTTATATTTTTATATCTCGTATTTTTAAAATGTTCTTTAACCGTTGGTGAGCCTTAATAATAAAATAATAATAAATAATAAAATGTCTAAAAGTACTACATATTATGATATTTTTAATGTAAATAAAAAACAAAATAATCTAACACACGAATCACCAAATGTTTTAAAAGACCATTATCAGGTATATACTATTTGAATAATATGCATGATATACATTTAAATAAATTGATTTACTCCAAAAAATATTTTCAGGACTTGTTGGACATATCTAAACAAGATTTAAGATCAGAAATGACAGTTGCCAAAAATTGTATTAAAAGTTCATGCGATAAAAATGATTTTAAACTTGAAGATATAAAAAAATATGTCTCAAAGCAAGTCTACCCAAATGTGTACAAATTGTTGCAAGTGGCGATCACTCTTCCAATTAGTTCATCAACATGTGAGCGTTCTTTTTCGGCAATGAGACGCTTAAAAACATGGTTAAGAACATCTATGCTTCAAAATCGTTTCAACACAATTTCAATACTTAATATTGAAAAGGATATTGTAAAGCATATTGACAATGACTCCATAATCAACAAATTTGCAAGAAAAAATAGAACAATTGTGTTACAATAATTTTAATAAACTTTATTCTTTTAATGGTCTTTTTTTGTTGTATTTATGTGTACTTATAGGCTGTTAAAATGCTTTCAGATTCAATTCAACAAAATATGCGACACAATGTGTTTCTTTGTTTTTCGATATCTATCAAATTATTTGAATATAGTTTTTATTTTAGTTTAGCCCCCCCAGAAATTCTAATGGATTTCCGCCTATGGTGAAAGTCACAATAAGCTGAGACCTTGGACATTACATCAAATACCTACGTCAAAACAACTTTAAAGTTTATACTTTATCTATTAAAGATTCACCATCAGCCTACGAATCCCCAGTGGCCTTAACAAAAAAAAAAGAAAAAAGATCTTTTAGACATGTGCAAGTATATGCCTCAACTATTCAGTGACTTCTATGCATCATTACCTGGATAATATATTGTATTAATTTTAAAATATGTAAAAATAATTATGTGGTTTTTAGTAATAAAATACTATGTTTTATTAATATTAGTATTTATAATATAATTTTGTTTGAGTGAAATGAATACAGTAACAGTACCTACACAAAAAAATAAATAATAAAATATTGTAGAGTGTTATAGTCGAATATGCAAGAACGTGCCATGTGCGTTCCAAATACATTTAAAAAAATGTATGATACAGTTTTCGTTTTTAGTTGTTCCTGGACATTTACGAATTGCTACATAGCACGTTATTCCCGCCCACCCTTAGTAAGTTACTTACTTAGTTGCATTGTTCATAATTCATTACTGCAACACATTTTTTTTATTAGTTAACTTATATATTGAAATTTTATACAGATCATTCGCCAACGACCATACCACGTTGAATACACCAGTTCTCGTCCGATCACTGAAGTTAAGCAACGTCGGGCGTAGTTAGTACTTGGATGGGTGACCGCTTGGGAACACTACGTGCCGTTGGCATTTTTTGCTTTTTCAATTTTTATTTATTTTTTATTTTTAACTTTGATTACATAAAATTTTTGTTCTGCCGTTGCCAAGAGGTCTCGACTTTCAAAAGTTGTTGTAGAACTCCTTACAGCAGTAAATTAAAATAATAATAATTGTTATGTCATATTTAACCTGTAGCGAATTCATTTTTTAATTATACCTGTTTGATTTTCATGGGCCGAAAACTTCGTCAAACTAAATTCACTTTTCTACCAGAAATAAATAAATGCCGCAGAAGAAAATTTAAGCATTTTTTCTTTTCCAAAAGTTAATGACAGAAACAAAGAAAAAAAATTATTGTAAAATCAATACACTTTAATGGCTCTGCTCAGAATTTAAAATTATATAATATTATTGTAACAGTTAAAAAAATATTGTTACATGCACAAACTATTTTTCTTCTTTTTAAAACACATAACTATATATATATTTTTTAGTAAAAATGTGCTTAATCATATAATATAAATAATAATTACAGCGAAATAGATTGAAATTTGAAAGTACTAAGTTTAGTTGTATACATCTACTCAAATACCTAATTGTAAATCAAATAATCAAGATTTTAAAAAAATTGAAATTGCCGGGAAATTACAGTGTAACAGAGTGACAAGCCCACCCAACATAATATCATAATACCTAATCATTTTCCATAACAATATAAATATACTTAAATTTTTATTTCATTAACACTTACAGAAGTTCCATATAGCTTATAAGTTTAAAACCATATACATTAAGCTTCTAGAAAAGGTCAGTTTTCCCAAATGAAATCAATCACAAATGAAATAATGGAGGGCAAGTGGGTCCTGCTCTGATCAGAGACGGATCCAAGAGGGGGCAGGCTACCCCACCAGACATATTATTTCCAATTTTTTATAATAATTCTGTAGATCCGGATATTACTGTATTTCAAATTACATGTGTGTCTGATAAATGATAATATAATATATTATTATACTCAAATTATTATACCTATATGTATCATTCTGGGGCGCACCAATTAATATAGTAGTATCAATTCTATGGAAGTATCTTAGTTCATGGTGGATAGTGATCCCAATATTGTAATTTTACTTTGGTGCCCCCCCCCCCATAGGTTAGGCTTAGATTATGGTAGGTAGGTTTGGATTCGTGCCTAGCTATGATGTACTTTAAGTGCATCGGGTAGGTTGGATCATGGATGTGTTAAATTTGAATTCAATAATTTTATCATTGGATACGAAAAACGATCCTGAGCAAAGAAAGTCGATCAGGCTATCTATCAGCATAATATTATTTGCATAAGGATATTTTATGATATTATTGCTAGTTGCTACTATACCTAAAGCAATTTATTTTACTATTTTAGTAATTGGTAATGCTGCAGTAAGATGTTATTGTGCAGATATAGCATATAAAAACATATTTTAAAAGTTTCAAGTGTTCACAAATACATTTTTAAATTACAACAAAATAACTTAAATTGTTATTTTTTATTGAAATGTACCTAATATCGTCCAAATTTTAAATTTAAAAGTCTATACAAAAACAGTGTTAATACATTTTGTAAAATACAATGGAACCTCGGTATTTCGAAGTTTCGGTATGATGAATTTTTGTTGAGTTCTGAGACTTCAACATACCGGAAGTTCCACTGTACCGATTTTGATTACAGAATCAATTATGAGAAACCTTGTCTTAAATTTTAAATCCTTGACTATAAAAATTAAACTTTTTTAAAATTTTTAACTTTTAAAAAGTCCCAACCAAAATCAGTTTCTCTGCTTAGCCCAACGCGACACCCTGTCAAGGGGAATCGGTTTCGATGCGTAGAATCGACGCGTTCTCCAGCCGAACGGAGTAATAGGCCGATAAATCTATTTTGTCATGGCACAACTCATACTATATCTAGGCACATACACAAAAAACAATTTCAGGTGGAGGGGAGGGGGGTTCATAATCAAATTGTCACCGACCACTGACCAGTTATTGTAGTTATCGATGATTGATATAAATAAATTACACAACTATTTATTTTCGGTGGGGTGGGGGTTGAACCCCCAAAACCCCCCTGTATACGCGTGCCTGACTATTTCATACATAGGTAATTTAAGTTTTTATTTTAAATTCTAACTGTAATTGTATTTTTAATTTTGTTTCTTATTTGTATAATTTTTAAAAACATTTGAGTGCATAAAAGTTGAATTTTTATATAACTATTGACCAAAACATTAGTATCAGAAATATAATAAATATAATATATGTATAGCCATATAGGTATAGGCTAAATCCCGGGCCCTAATTGTTGATTAACCTCCCCGGCCCCTTGACACCCAGTTCGCCAAAGCATACAGGTAACATGGTGCATACAGGTAACTGCACACTAAGTAACAGTTCAACAGTTATTGTAAATTGACCACCCTCCGAATTACAGCTGCTGTTATGGAAGTTTAAAATTTTGCGATTTTCGGGAGCCGATATAGAGACTTCCTATATAAGAGTAGATCAACATTTTTTGCTAAAGCCACTGCTTGGATTCACTTAGGCTTCTCAAGTACATAAAAGCTCACTGAGTTTCAATAAACTAAATATATATTATATATATATGTATAATAATAATATTTATTTATTTTTGCACAAATAGTTTTACAATAGATATAATATAATATAATATAATATGATATGATATGATGTATTGATATACCTAATTAAAATAACAGAAGTTGGTCAATTTCCAGTCACTAGCTGTGCGGAAATGAGAATTCTCAGAACATTATTAAATCGATAATAATACTAAGTTCTACATAATATATTATGTGAGTAGATATTTACAAACAATCAATTAACAAACAGTACAAATGCTGTGAATAAGAAATAAGCAATAATAATATTGATTAAGTTAATTAAAAGTAATTGATTAAGTATACCAAGTTATATCATCTCGTGAAACGTAATTTACATTTTACAAGATCAAACCACGAGACATTCCATAACATTCTGACTTTCGGTTCAAATGTTTGACAATAAACGATCTTTGCTTAGTCAGACCTATAATATCTATAAATTGTATTAATGTTGATATCTGCATGTTATTGGTTATAACCAAAGACCGGATTTTGCATAAAATGCATGTTGCTATTTTCAACATCATAGACATGCAGTCAATAAGTCTCCATAAATCATTACTTGATTGATTAAATGTCAACATTTTATAGTGCATATTTTTGCATATTCTGACGTTAGTGTATGTTTTGCATATTTTTGCATATTTTATCAAAAAACCGTACAAATATACACCTAACGATAAAAAAATGTGTTGAGCAAACATAAAAAAGAGAGATAAATTTAATAGTTTCATGAGGTACGTGGCCGTTCATAAAGAAGCGCGACAAGAAATGTTGTCAAATTTCAATATATAATATAAACAAAATATATTGAATATCAAAATAAGTAAGTTATAAGCTTACATTATTATGAACTAAGAATGTCACAACTTATTATAAATCATAATAGATGTAAAAATGTCGAAGAATCGTGAAAAAAATCAAAATTGTTAATTTTGTTTCATAAATTTCAGCATTCGAAGTTTTCACAACCAAATAATCCAAACCTAACCAGAATTATGGAATTCATGTCTCTTTTCTTAAAACGTCCACTGCCAAGCTCATTATCTAATACCCTTTTACCACTTCCACCGTCAAGTCCAAAATTCCTCCGGCAGTCACCATCTCCGTGTCCGGCGCACGGGGCACACCTCTCGGTCTGCAACCAAGCTTTCCGGTCCAAATCGCGGGGCCGCGGATTGCCTATACCAATAGAACGAACACGTGGACGAGGGCAGCAATTCCGGCGATTATGGTCCTTCGGCAAGAGCTGATTTTCCTCTATAGCTGATTCTGATCCTGCTCCTGTAGTGGTGGCTGCTGCTGCATGCCTAACCTAACCATATTCGAGGCCGTCGAGCACCATATCCTCTTGGGCCGTCGAGAGGGTACAGTCGGCAGAACCGAAGTCGGCCGCACATTACAGTGCACTGCGCCGTCGTCGTCGCCGCCCAACGAGGACACCCCATGCAGGCTGGGCGTCCTGGTCTGCAAATCCTATGGTTGTCTTATATGCAAGCTATTGCCAATGATGTTACCACAAAATAATGACCACCCAGTTTTCAAAATGTAAGTAAATTAGGACTTGGGAGTGAGTAATAAGTAATAAAGAATTTCAAAATTAAAACGAACACAAGATACATAGTACCTACGAGCTATGAGTTATACATTTTACACACTTGTAGTCTGTTAAAAGTTTATTACTTAAATTTTAGAAAATATAAAACTTACATTTACAGAACCATCAACAGTGAGCAGTCGGTCCTTATTGTCAAACGATATTACGATAAGCCGTAAAGTCGTACGGCAAAATTCCATAGGGAAAATACCCATTATTGCAATGACAATAATTGATAAATGAAACTATAAATAAGTCATTCAAATGGCCCATGCCTGATTAACACATAATGGCGTCATTGGTTACCAAAATGCAAACTTAAAATGCATTACACATATTTACACTTATCTTTAATAGTCAACAGATAATAATTCATTAAAATTTAAAACATCAACAATTTTTCCTATGAACAAGTTGAATAAGTTACCTATGAATAAGTTTTATTTGGTTTTCGAGTTATTTTAGGAGCGTATACCCGTAAAATGATCATTTACATTGGGTATACCGTAATATAAATATTAAATATACGGTGAAAATTTCAAGTATGCACGGTTATCGTTTTATAGTCACACTAAAAATACAATATCGATTTTCCAATAACTGGTACTGCGTAAAAATTCCAGTTTTGCTTAATTATTTTGAAAAATACAGGAAATTTTAAATTGTGACCTCTTAAAAGTTCTCAATACCAACTATAGAATCATTTTTTCTATCAGAAATCACCGCTAAAGTTGAAAATCTAAGTATTTTTACAACTAATTTTTATGTATACACATTACACACACACACACACAAAATAAAAAAACACATCATTGTAAAATCCCATTATTCATTCATCACTTCACTTAAAATGTAAATTTATTAACTCTATAATTAATGGATTTTTCATTAAAATAATAAAATGTAACTCTTAAGAAGTTTAAATACGCTTAAACCGTTCCTGCAATAATGTTTCTTTAATAATATAATATATTGATAAAGCCATAATCATAAAGATGTGATAATAATAGATGCAGGTATGCAACAATATGTGGTCAGCCCGTAGAAATCAAATGAAATTTTTTTTAAATAAAATTCAAAAGATATAAAGGTAAAAATTAAAATAATCCGTTATACATAATAATTGTGGCAATAGTGTTTGTTTTGTTTTATTTATAAGTTTATAACTATATTTTTTCTAAAAGAAGCAATAATACACCATAATCACCGTTAAGGAATTATAAAAATTTGAGAGGCCAGTTTACAGCTTCAAATGTATTATTATTGTATACATTTATTCAACTAAAGTTGTACTTTGTTAAAATAGAGGCCACATAGCGAGAAAAAAACTCCTCCAGAGTTGGCGAATCACATACAGAAGCATAGCATAAACTCGGCTTGATTTTAATTTTTTTTTTTCAATATTCTAATATTTAAATATAGGTAGTAGGTACTCAAATTACACACAAATTATTTTATTATAAATTTATTTTCTATCCCATTAATAATTATACGTAAGGATAACAATTTTTGTATTAGTTATGAAAAAAATATACACAAATTGAAATTGCTGTTTTTCAAAATTTTTAATCCATTCGCGTCTTGATATCACGCACAATTATCTTGTCTTTTTTACTGAAATACATGAAATGATTTGTCATATTAATGGTCAACATATTTGAATAAAGAAAATCATACTTTATTAAATAGAAAAATTTCACTCACATAATATAAACCTTTGCACCCCAACCGGAAATAGCGTCACGATTGCAAGCACTAACCAAAGCTTGTGATATAGTTTCAAATAGTTGATCCTCTTCCATATCAGGCTCCCAAAGAGCTTCACAAAGACCATATAATTGACTTGAACTAGTACCTCCCACCACAAAGTTATCGGACTTATTTACACAACCAATTAAATCCATGTCGCACATGTATGGTTCCAATGTCTCTTCATCTAAAGCAACAATCATTGGTTCAACAAAGAATGGTGAGAATCTGTAACAAAACAAAATGATTATTATAAAATGTAAACAGTGTAAATTAAGTAAGAGTTATTTTACATTATATTTAAAAATTGAAGATTTAATTTTATACAAAAAATCAAATAATCACACATGTATAAATGTTGGAAAAGCTAAATAGAAACAATTCAAATATCAATCAATAGTCTGAACGAAATGTTGAAAAAAAAATATTATAATGTAATATGATTATGTATTTATGTTATGGCAATTTTAAGGATTTTACTGTGTTCAGCCAGGGATGACAAATTAAATACACTAACAACAAAGGTATAGTCATGTGGTCTACACGGAATACTCATTAAATAATTGGAGAATTACAAGAACCTACGCTGTAACCTTTCAAAAAATAATAGCAACATATTAAAGGATTGGAAGCACGAAAGCATAGTAGAGACTTAATGGATATTTCCATTCAAAAATCTTTGGATAACCTCAAGAAGGTACTATGAATATGATGGACAAAAAATTGGCATCATTTTATTTTAAACATTTTTATAACTTGTTGAAAACAAAAATGAATAACTATCAACGTTTTAAAGTGACTAGCCACAAAATGAAAATAAAAATTTGTCATTTAAACATGCATACTACACAGGTTTTCTGACATGTTGGTAATATCCGATTGGTCAAGTGGTCAAGGAGAATCATTATTTTTAATATAATCTAAGATTGCAATTAATTTGTCTTATTTAAAAATAACTTACCTGTTTTCATACAACAAATTGGAGACCAGAGACGCTAATGCTTTAGGAGATATTTTCCGATTCTCTTTTAACTCGTATAACCTTTTTCTGAACATAATTTTCTCGTACACAGTAAATATATCTGTAGCTAAACCAGGAAATCCCATATATGTGTGAGGATTTATTTGAAAGACTTTCTATAATTCAAAATGAAAACGGTTGGATATAAGTAATAATACGCAATAAAAATAAAGAAATAAAGTAAAACAACATACTGTGAAATCAAGAGACACTGTTTGGGCTTGAATACCAAATCGTTTATCAGTGGCGATGGCAACACAATCCTTACCTTTCATGCCAATTAAGGCGCCACCATTATAATCCATGATACTCTGTAATAAAAAATTATACAGTAGACATGATGCTCAAAAAAACAACAAATAATGTATAATAGATAATAGTATATAAAAATTGTATTTTTACATGAGATTCATTAAAACATAATAAATAACATACAGTTGTTGTTTACACTAAGATAACTCATTTTTTTAAAAACAATTAAATAACTTAATTCATTCCATAATTAATAATGACTTTTTTCCCACATCCTTTAAGTTATTTAACCTGTTTACAAGTGGAATTTGTAAGTTTTTTTAAGGATTAATAATTTGTGATAATCCATGATATATCAATTGAGATGTGAAAGCTTTCACTAGGCAAAATGTATTTAATAGTATTTACTACATTTTAGAATCAAATATAATCTATATTACTTTTTAACATCAATATTTAATAACTACCTATCAGATAAATATACATAACAACCTTAACAATTTAAGAGGTAACAAGGTAGTTATTATGAATGCTTATATCTTTACCATTACAAAAATGGGCATTATAACATATAAATTATAACATTATTTATTAGCATCAAAATACTTTACTAATTTATATCTATAATATCCTTTTGTATTGAAACATAGGTAATATTATAATACTATCAATCCATTAGTTTATAATTATCAATAACAATGTAATTCGTTATAGACATGATCAATTAATACATTACCATTTTGAAAGATGTAGTTTATGAAATTATGCACTTGAAAAGGTCGTAAAAACGAGAATCCTTCGAACAGTTACAACTTTTTGAAAAAACCTATGAACTAAAAAGTGCTAATTCACTATCATTTATCAGGTTATAATATTATGTTTATGTATAATCATCACGCATGCGCAATTTGTCAACTTAATTTTTTATCAGTGATTTCCAGTGTGCTCACGATTATAGATATTGAACCGTGGTTGTGCTGTTAGTTGTGAACGCGAATATAATTTTGATTGGTCCATATTATCAGCGCAATATTTAAATATTAAAGATTGTACTACACATTTTTTGTAGCAGGCCATGCAGTATAATTGTATTTTAATTTATTTACAATAGTTGGTTTTCCTATCGCATTTTTAATATAAAACAGTGATTTTTTAACAGACTCGATTTAAAGATAAGAATTCATATAAGTGAACTAGCAGGACGTCGCCTGATTTCGACCCAAAGTAACTTTTTTTCCTTTTTTTTATCCCGATTGCAGCTTCTACGTAATAGGTAAAATATAATAACGTTTGGTGTAAATTTCAAGTGTACAGTAATTCGTTTTTGAAAATCGCTACAAGAGAAATCGAGTGAATATCCAATGTTGCAAAAATTTCAACTTCAAACGATCATAACAATTTTATTTGACTTTCCAGTAGAATTTTTTTTGTTTCATAAAGGTAGACAAACTTGTAAGGAATCTTGTATTACATGTTTTAATCTCAGATATAAATAGAAATTTTTTTATGAATTTCTTACTGAATACAATTTTCTAATTTTCTTGATTTTTACGAATTTTGTCAAAATGCTAAGTGTTTAAACGCTCAAAAAATATTATTGAGGATTTACGCTCAACTTTTTTTTTTAATTTCCATTGACAAACACTTACAAGGAACCTTGTATTACATTTTAAAGTTTTTTGATAGAGCGAAATTTTTTTATCGACTTGAGTTTAAAAAAACAAATAATAATCGAAAATTGCATACGCCTATAAATAGTTCAACACAAATCAAAATATTTTGAAAATGTTATGGTCTATTGTATAGAAAATGCTAACACAAATATTCAGTGAAAATTTCATGTATTTACTGTCATTTTTTTATATTACTGACTAACTTTTTTTATTGTAAAAATGTTTGCGTTTTATGAATTCGACTATCTACGTGTATATACTATTATGATTCATTTTTATAAATATAAAGGTATATAGAACTTTATTTTACCTATTGTATGAATTATACGTTATTTTGTAAACCAATAATGTGTGTTTGGAACTTGGACGCAATTTGGATACTTATATTTGGGACAAAATACGACTACCTTAATTCGAGTCGCAAGCGGGCATTCCTGAACAACTATGTTAGAAAATAGAAATACAGCACTTTCATCATACTATATAAACTGTATAAACAATGATCATTTATCAAGACTCAAGAGATAATCGCTGGTGTTTGGGGACTGATGTCTAAAATCTGATTGAACTTATACAATAATTGAAATGGTAAAAATAAATATATATACTTCAGGATGAATGCCCCGATAATTTGAAGCACATAATATCACAGAATAAATTAAATTTTTAATTATTTATAAATTTATAAATAATATTAAATAATATATTTATATATTTTTATTTATAAATTTCATTTATTCTGTGATAATATAAACATAATTTGTTCTTTGATAATATTAGCGATGAGTTTCTGTTAATAGAACGAATAGACTGAGCATGCGCGAAGAGAAATGTCGCATATTTATCTATTTGAATTGATATAAAAATATAAATCAATCAGCGACCAGCTCACCTCACATAATAATAATAATATAATATTATGCTCACATCGAATCTGAAATATTAAATAAGTCGTCGATTGATGTGCGTCAAACTGTTTACCTTTATTGGGCTTTACTCGGACGAGATGGGCAATCATGGGAATAGTAGGTATATGCTACGAGATATCTAATAGTAAAACACTGGACTTCCAGTATTTAAGTACTTACCTATTTGCTAATGTAAAATATATATTTAGTATTTTAGTTATGGTTATGGATAAATGCAGATCAACACAACTACACGAGTTCAAAACGTACTTCGGTTAATATTTATGTTCTATGCATGATTTTGTTGTTCTCAATAATAAATAGGCAATGGCTCAACAACTGTCTGGTGTCACGGTGGTGATATTTATAGCTGGCGGTATATTAACATTTATATTGCTATTCATATTCGCCAAGAGGCAGATCATGAGATTTGCTCTGCGATCTAGGAGAGGCCCGCATGTGCCGATCGGGCATGATGGGAAAAAAGTAAGAATATGAATTCCTCAAATCACTGACAAATTAGCCAAGTCCTCGTCATCTCTCAGATGTCCCCCAGGCGCACAAATTCCATGGTCAGATTTTACCCCTATACTTAGGTCCAGTACATCCAACCTATGGCTTAAATACTGGGGATCACTTCCACCTCACTTCGCTACATGGTATAAAAATATATCCCCATCCATCCTACCACTACCCTGGTCTCACAACTTTAATCTCTCCAGGAAAAGTATATCTTCGTTCTCTCGTCTTCGTTTTGGCCACACACTACTCCCTTCCCATTCTTATAAACTATCGTTGAATGATCCTTCTCTCTGCACACTCCACATGGACGCTATGGTTTGTGATATTAGCCATCTAATCTTCTACTGCCCCAGTCTATCAACTCAACAGGATCAACTTTTTTCCCTTTTAAATTCTTCCAACATTCCTTTCGATACCAAAAATATCTTTTCAACCCAACAATAAAATATTATATTGTACATTTTATCCTTTTTCAACCTTACAGGCTTTTTAATCTAATCAGATATTTTCTTTTCATTCTTATTTATATCTTGTACTTCATGTCACTTAATTGTTGAAACTAATTGCAGCACAAAGTTTAAATTTAAAAAAAAAATAAAAAATTCCTCAAACATTCTCATTGTGGTTTTTAAAGGGTTTACTAGAAATTGTCATATTGTATTCTATCAAAAGAATGAATCACTAATAATTTACCTAACTTGTTTGAGGTACTATTTACTTATATTTATTCCTGTTGTTTTTTTTTAATAATTGCACTAATGCACTCAGATGTTTGAGTCAATGGCATAATCTTAGTATAAAGAACTATAATGATGTGCATAGTATGTAGTATACATAGATGTAGTGTAGTTACAACTTTTGATATTAAATTACAGAGTTATATAGTAATGCATAGTTATAATTATATTATAATTATTTGGTTTCATTGACAATAAAGTGTTTAACGTAAAACCCCTCCAAACCATAAATCATCTAAAATTGTTTTAATAATAATAATAATAAAATGTTGATATTGTGTTAGACTCTGAAAAGAGAAATTGAACGACGAATAGAAGTGGTTCCAAAAATTGTTTTTGAACCAAAATTAATGACAGTTGATCAAGACGATGACCATTCAAAATATATATTACCACCAGCTGAATCTAACGAAAAACCATTGCTGTCACATCATTATCGTATGAAAGCAGTTGATGATGTCAAAAAGTTAGGTAATATAAGAACAAAGTTGGTTACATAGTTGATAAATATTGTAGCTATACTTTGTACAAATTGGTCCCAAAAATAAAATAAGCATTAGAAATAGTCGAATTGGCTCCTGTGTAAACATCAGTTTGACATTTTTAATAGTTATTTTAATTTCCTTCAATAGAAACGGTTTATAATGACACTAGTTGTAGTAACATATTGGGCGTAATGACCTTAGTTGACAGCCCCCATCAAATCTCCTAAATTGGATGTACTAATTTGTATCGATTATTATGACTTTTGTACAAAGATTAGAATGATATTATAACAATTTTTTTTTGCTATATTGGAAACCTATATGACCGTATTAATCTTTTTTTGAAGGTCATATTAAAACCAATAATACTAAATACTAAAAACAAATGTTAAAGAATTGAAATAAATACCGCATGATTTCTGTTCAAATTGCAAACTATTTTAATAGAAAATCTTAACAGATTTTTTTTAATATAGTGTAAATTTAATGTTAAATTAATTAGCAACTTTTTTATTAAAATTTTTTCTGTATGTATTGAAGTCATGATTTAGGGATACAAATACGAAACTGATTGTAACACAATACTATGTTCATATAAATATATAATCAAGTTATTTAATTTTACATCATCATTCTGATTACAATGCTAATCGATTATTATGACTAATACTAGTCCCTTGTATGTCATTATAATCGGTTTCTACTGTATTTTGATAAAATTATATAATCTTTATTAAGTTTTTATTTATTAATTGAAAAATTCAATGTATTTATTTATTATGAACTTATAAAACAGCAGTATTTTTAATCACACCTACATTCGTAGACAGTCCTAAGTCTATTAAAATAAGAAGGAAATTGTTGACGGTTAAAATCAACTTAAATATATACAATTCATGAATTTAGGAACCAATTCAGTTATTTGGGATCAATTCATAGTCTGCTTAATATTATATTCATAAATATTTTATACAATTAAAATAAATTGTCCTTTCAGAACGGGAAATTACCAAACAAGATAAGACATTGACTCGCCATCCAAATGAAAATATTCGTTCATTTTTACTAAATACATTAGCAGTACTTTTGGATGGTAGTGGACAGCACATAGTTCATCAATTTTGTGATCTCTATGAACATGCTCGTTATGATCCAAATGAATTCACGGATGAAGAATACCAATCATTCATAAGATTAATGAAAAAACTAATTGATATGTGAGTTAAGAAATTATCGACTTTTATTAATACATTTTAAAGTTAATATTCTACATTTTTAAATTCAAGTATAAATATACTTGGTTATTAAATAGTGAAGGTATAATATATATTAATTTTAATTTTCAATTAAATTTAAAACAATATTTTTTTCATTTATTACAGTACCAAATTATTAAAATCGTATGCTGGTGAAAGTCGAAAAAATAGTCCCAATAAAACTCCAACTCGTAACAACAATATGCGAACTGGTACTAATGAAAGTCTTAGAACAAAAGACAGAGATTCAAATCGCTTAAAGGTTGTATAAGAATTGAGAAGTAAGTATTTTTTTTCTAAAAATTAATTGGAGTAAAATCAATTTTATTGTATTTAACTAATGTTAATTAAAACCTGATAATTTCTATACATTTTAATGAATGTTGATTGAGTTTTGTGTTTGTGTAAAGATATGTGATACCTATATATTTATGTATAAATATTTTTTTTAAGTTTATTATTTAGTTTTTGTTTATGGAAACATAAGTAATTGTAAATGTAACTACTAACTATACTTATATGTAAAATAAGAGTCCTTAAAAACCTTAAATTGTAAAGATAATTATTGTTCTGGAAGAAATAAAATGTTGTATACATTATTAATATTAATTAATTATTTTTATATTTTGTTCCATCAAATATCTTCATAAGATCTCAACCTGACTATTCTTGATATTTTTTCTATTTATCAAAACCATTCCTAAAGTGACTATTTTAAGTTTTTCAATACATTATTTACATAATTTATTACTATCAGAGATATCAATACAATTTTGAATAGGATAATTTATTTATTGTCTAAAATCTAAATGATTAATCCATCTTTATATTGAGTCATCCACTTAATATAGGACACTCATTTTACCAAAAACTGTTTTAACATTTCAGGAGAATTAGAAAAATAATTTTCTTTCAAACTGATCCTTTGAACAACTTAAAATTATACAAAAGAAACATTTTCAAAAATGCCAGCGTTTTCTAAAATAATAGTGTGTCTTACACTTTCACCCTTACTTTAAAGGTTAAATTGATCATTCCATATTTGTATACAAATATTATATGGTAGGTTTTTTGACAAGGGACTCAATGACATGGTATACTCAACATCTAGGTAATGTACAGGCATCAGATACCTAGTTTTCCGCTTAATATAAACTAAATTCTTTTACAAAAATATTGACATTTGTCTGCGATTCATTCTGAGCAACAATAAATAAATTACAAAATAATATACTGTCTGTTGCATAGATTAATCCTATGCTCCTACAAAGTATTAATCCATGAATTAATAAAAAATCATTTAATGTCATTTAAGAAGTGACATGTCATAGAAAGATTTTTAGATTGGGGGGGGGGGGGCATTGTAAGCAGTCTTTGATGAACAAAAAATATGAAAAAAATTATTCAGAATTTGATTTGAATAAAAAAAAAGTATTTAAATACATAATTCATTCAAATACTTTTTAAAACTGATTGTAAGGTACTGCAGGGTACTGTAAAAATAAATATTCAAACATTGTTAACATTGCAATTTGCATTACCTATATTATTATGCAGGGGCTATGATTCGCATCTGATGGTTGAATTATAAAATGGGGGGGGGGGGCTTGATGTAGGATGTTATTGTAAAATATAATTATTTTAAACACTTCGCCACCACTAGTACTAATTAGTAGACTCTCGTTACCTATAATAAATTATTAATAGTATTACTATTTAGTATTTACTATTATGTTCATTTCATAGATCCATAGTTTATTGTTCTTCAATTTTTTTTGAATTATCTAGAAAAATCTACCAGAAGGCGAGAAAATTAATGCCGGATCTTTGAGAGGAGTTCTGGACCGAGGAAGTCTAAACATGAATCACTCCAAGGAGCTTAGAATATAAACACATCCTCTCTGAAACACGCCACGGACGTTATCATTTAAGATAATAATATCTATTGACTTTTTAATTTTTTTTAAACAGCTCGACTTTCGAGTCGAAAGTTTCGACTAACGTCCTGTTGTTCATGTACAAAAAATATTTAAATTTATTGTGATGGACAAACCGCCGACCGAAGAGAAGACTAGGGAAGAGGTGGAGGCCGAGCGAAAAGCCAAGCGAGCAGCGAAACAGGAACGGAAAAAAGCGGCTTTGGAAAAACAGAAACCAGAGGGACTAGAAATCCAAAAAAAGTCTAAAGATCCGTCCACAGAATCACCTAATGCAGTTGATCCCGCGAAAGTACCTAAGCCAAAAACAGTGAGTAAAAATCACCAAAAATATGTTTAGCTTACTTGATGACTAATGTCCTAAGTTGTTCTCAATGCAAACAATGAAAGGCTGTATTTCATTAGAAAATGATCTACTTACAGATTAGTATAGGAAGATTAATAATTATAAAATAAACAATGTGGGGCCGGGTGGAAGAAATGCAAAATTAAAATCCCTGTGGCCATGCAGTTCATATGGAAAAAATGTAGGTTATACATAATTAGTATTATTTAAGATATTGTTAAGAAAGCTCATAGCATTAAAACCTGAACATTTGTTTTAATTAAATAAATAATGAGTTCAAATCGTGGAAAGAATTATTTAACAAGTCTATAGTATATATTTATATTATTAATATTAATTAATATTTTTCTCCAAGTTTTAAAACTTACAGATTAAAATAAATGTGGAACAAACAGAATGTGATCTAAAGAGATTCATAATACATTAAACCAATAAAAAAAATTCAATATATATATACTTACCAACAATTATCTAACTTTTTTGTTCTACATTTTTACTTAAGGGGGCCCACTGATAGTTTTTCAAATATTCTGGAATTCTATAAAATTTAAAAATTGTATTTTATATTTTAGTTGCTAACTTAATTAATATTTCCATTTGTCTTTAGCCCAAGGGGGGGGGGTGTTGAAAAATATAAATTAATAAAAAGTTAGTACCGCACATTTTTATATTTATGCACACATTAATTTTGACAATTTACTAATGATTTATGTGCACTTGAAATTTCCAACAATAAGTTTCTTAATTAATTTTTTTATACAGAAATATTATATTATCTTGTTTTAAGATTTTTTAAATTTTATACTGAGATTTAATAAATGCATTAGGTACCTCCTAATACTTTACTTTTCAAAACAAATAACGATAAAATGTATTTGATTTTTAAATTTAAAAATTGGCTACATCATTATGTAGAATTGAAATAAATAAGAATTTTAACTTTTAAAAATTATGTATAATAATAATACTGTCATTATGGTATTTTTTTTTTAATCTATTTGATTAGGTTTTGCAAAATCATGAAATGCTATTCTTTAAAATGATTTTTCATCTCCTGTACCTTTTTTTTACAGTAATTGAAATTATTATGTTTTTGATATTATATAAAATTTATTGATATATTTGGTATTTCATATCAAACTCTGATATTCAAAATGTTCACGCCTGTATCTATTTCAGGATGTACCCAAGGCAGCACCCAAGAAACAAACAACTCAAAAAATTGATGCAACCAAAAAAGTGATTAAAAGTAACAAAAACAAAGAAAATATCATTGTTAAAAAGGTAAGTTAATAAATGTTGTGCCTGTGACCGATTTATAGTTAAAATAACTTTTGATTTATTATCCTTTAGGTAGAAGAAGTAAAACCTACAGCAAAAACAGTGAATTTAGTAAATTTAGTGAAGAAATCCGCAGGACCCGTTACACACAAAGTTAAACTATTCAATCATCTTTATAATGACTCTTTGGTGACAGAAAACAAATTAAAGTAAATCTAGATTGAACATTTATTTAATTTAACAGTTGGCCTAATTATTATATTTAACTAGAATAAATTCTGGTAAAGTTCATCCATCTTTTATAAAACTCGGAGTTCAAATGCAAACTTCTGTTGTAGCAGGATCGAATGCTAGATGTCTCGCCTTCTTATATGCACTCAAACAAGTATGTAAGATGTATAAAATTAGAATATTTTTCACTTCTAAAATTTTTTTGTAGACAATTTCAGATTTTGTAACTCCAGAACACAAACATTTTTCTCGTTCTTTTGAAGAACACCTTGGACCAGCTATTGATCACTTAATGGCATGTAGACCGTTTTCAGTATCCATGAATAACGCACACAAATCTATCATGTCTCATGTAAAGAGATTACCTCACAATATTTCTGATGGTCATGTGCGTCATCTAATTCTTTAACTACGGTAGTTTATTGCAACTATTAATCAATTTTATTCATTGTCTTTTGGCAGGCCAAAGAAGCATTAGAAACTGTTATAAATACATATATTTACGTCCAAATACATATGGCTGGTAAGGCAATTTGTATTGCGGCTCAAAATAAGATTGGAAAAGGAGATGTTATACTTACTTATGGATAGTAAGTACTTATATTTAAGTATACAATTACTAATACCTATATAATAACGTGGATCAAATTTAACTATTAAACTGTCAAGGCTACACGTGTAAAATATATTTGAAATTACTTGCTCCAAAAGTTCAATAAAAAGGAAATGATATCATTATTTTTTAGTTCTTCTTTAATTGAACGGATCCTAACGGACGCTCACTCTAATAACAAACAATTCAGTGTGATCGTGGTTGACTCTGCACCATGGTATGAAGGCCGTCAACTTCTCCATCGTCTTGTGCGTAACAACATCCAGTGCACTTATGTACTCCTCTCGGCGACCAGTTTTATCATGACTAGAGCAACTAAAGTGCTGCTAGGTGCACATGCATTGTTGGCCAACGGTTACGTTATGGGTCGAGCGGGCAGTTCTCAGATAGCTTTGGTAGCCAAACATTTCAATGTACCTGTATTGGTGTGTTGTGAAACATACAAATTTACAGAACGTGTGCAAACCGACTCAATAGTTTTCAACGAACTAGGTTTGTTCTTTAGACTATAATATTATATCAAACTCAATAATTGATTCTAACCATAGTAAAATTAATATTTTAGGTAATGAAAAAGACGTCATGCCCAAAGAACAATGGTTGAACAATCGTTATTTGACTCCGTTAGGTCTTAGGTACGATGTGACCACTTCTGATTTGATAACAGCTGTTGTGACAGAAATTGCTATATTACCATGTACCAGTGTTCCAGTCGTTTTGAGGGTGCGACCAAACTAATACAGGATGTGTAACAATTAACATATGCCTGATGTTCATCATGAACAGCAGCAAAAATAAATAAAAATGTATTTAATTTACAATTTTATATTGATTTTTAATAAGATAATATAATTTGTTTTCTGTTGTACAATGTTCCAAATGTAAACGTTTTTTTTTTTTTTTTGACATTAGGTGTCTGTCAAAAGTTTACTGCCGCTTGCCCATACACTATTTAATGTAAAATATGTAAAAAGCTAAATTATGTTGTTAATTAACAGTAAACAAACGTTGGGTAACAATGTTTGTGATGGAACAATCTAATAATAATAATTCAATGTATATGAGTCACATAATAGTATATAATAATTTAAAAAAAAAGGGTAATTTTTACAAAAGTAAGAAATATTAGATTCAATTCTTAAACTAAAAATATTGTATAATACAAGTTATTAAAACATAATTTAAATATTTGTTCATAATGTAGGCATATTTAATTTGTTGTCTTATTCACTACACGCAGACGCATTGGTAGCGGTATTTAAAAAAAAAAAAATTATAATCTTAACACGCCACCAAGGTGCCAGAAATATGCACTAGACTTATTTATATTTTTATTGATTTTAATACGTGTACACAGACTTTAAAAACACTCGACTTTGTTAAAAACTGATTTATACACACGGCCTTTGAAATCATAATCAACAAATCAACTCTGAGGAACTAAGATAACCCGGTACTATGTACTTTTTAAACCTTTCGTACGAAAAATATTTATTATACAGAACAAAATTCACATTCTTAATTACGATGTTAATGAAAAAAAAAAACCAGACAAACAGTACTAATTAAAAATTATGATATGAAAAACAACGAAAATATATTTATAATAATTTTAGGTTAAGTTTTTTTTTATAACTTTATACACATACACCAGACATGATTTATACAGTAGTTTAACATTAACTTAATGAAATAATATAAATACATTTCAACAGTTTCTGGTTAATAAATTACGTTGTCACCCTAAGATATCATACATCAAGATTAGAGAAAAAAAAACCTTATACGAATATATTATTTTAGAGTTAGTTAAATCTTTAACAACAACTTGCTGTAAATGTACAAATATCGGCAAATTCTTCTGAGCCCAATACTCTGGCTATTGATTCACAAACAATATAATAATTTATGAAAGAGTAAAACAACAGTTCTAGTCTGTAACTCTAGGTCTATATTATATATTAAATACTTATAATATATTAGTATAAATATAATGGTTTATACACTTATATAAAAAAAATCGCACACAAGCCTATGTCATTCATTTAGACAGTAAAATAATAGTAAATATTGCATAAAATGTACAAAGCCCTTTATATGAAACGGTTTTAACCGCTTTGTGCATGCTTAAACACACTCACATTTTTTTTTTTTTTTTTTAATAATAACTACACAATGTTTACATTATTATTATTATACACAATTCCTACATTCTTGACGTACAATTATTACCAATAACTTTATTTGAATGTTACTAAAATTTAAAAAATAATTATCTTTAAAAGTATTAATTTTATCAGGAACCTAGTAAATATTTATACTTAAAATAATAATATAAATTATTCTTTTTTTTTTAAGCTTTTTGTGTCCTCCCTTACTAATTATTACATGAAGTTACTAGGAAAATTTAACTTTCAATATATAAAAATATACCTAATCTGTGTTGAGTTTGTTCATAGTAAATAGTAATTATAGTTAATAATTATTGATCTAGGCATCTAATCCTGTGCGACATGAGTATACTTTCTCAGTAATATAAAAATATATTTAAAAAAGAAAACTTAGCTATAAATGATTACAATTAAGTATAAATTAGTTTGGTAGACAAACTTTAAAATGTTTTCTTATTATTATGTATAGTTATGGCATAATTTTGTACATAAAAAGCCTTTTAAGAGGCAACGGCAAGAACAGATAGGAATATAGTGTTTTTGTAATAAACTGACCCGGTATTATAGAGTTAAATGAAATTTCACCACTAAAAAAACAGGGATTACAGAAAAAATGAAATAATAATTAAATTTATACATAAATTGACAGTATTCATCTTTTTCATACATCAATGCCTACATTATTTTAAGACTAGGCACAAACATTTTATAAGAATGACATCATCATTTTGGGATCAGTGTTGTTTATATTGCATATAATATTACATTTTAAATTAAATACATTTATAGTTAATTTATTTGGAATCTTATATAAACTGAATAACTATAAGATATTTTAGCAAGTAAATATGCCATGTCTACATAATAATCGTCAAACCATAATAAAATATGCAAATGCTATACAACATAATATTACCTACAAATATTTTAATGATACAAAATTTAACTTAAAATTTCATTAAATAAATTTGTTGGACCAAATATCAAGAAATAATGATGTCACTAATATCTATCTATGTTTGATAAAGATGTTTTATAGTAAACCTAATTTATATAACTTAATGAAACAAGACTATTAACACTTTTTAACTCTTTAGAAGTACCTACTTATTAAACATAGAATAGGTTTAGGCTCGTGTGTTTTGTGGTGGACCCAACATCATGGGTGTTAGGTGGGTTAATGGTGGTGGACCATCGGCATTATGCGGTGGAGGCCCCAAGAAGCGAGGGCCGTTCTTGGTGGTTGGCAATATGCTGATTTCACGAGGATCAAATCTAAAAAATATTTTTAATTATTATACAATATTTATTAATGAACATAAGAATATAAGTTTATCTCCTAATTTTATTGAAACTATTCAATCAAAACTAAAACAGGTATATCCAATGTAAATTTAATTTTTTTGTAATATGAATTAACAGACATAAAACTTAGTTTTTATAACTGCACTTCAATGATAAAAAAAAAATTTAAGTTTTAACATAATATTCAAAAAAATGTGTTTATTTATAGACTTTACATTGACTTGGTCAAATTTTTAAATTTTATATTAAGTTATAACAAAAATATTTTAAGACTCAACAATTACATTACAGTACAATTTTATGAAGATTATTATATTATATTTAATTTATTATAATTTTAAAAAACTTTTACCAAATTTATTTCTTTATTTACGTAAACCTATAAAATGAATAAGTAGATTTTCTTATTTTATGTGATAATAACTTTTATAGTTATATAGTTATAAATCATAGACTTATACCTTATGCTAGAATAGTTGGTGTCTGATTGCATGTAGGAACTGTGTACTGGCTCGTGGTCAGTAGCTGCTGCTGCTGCAGCAACATTGAATCGGTGGACTTTATTGATGTGTCTGACTAAAAAGCATCCTTTCACAAAGGCTTTACCACAAAATTGACAACAATGTGCTGGTCCCAAGTCATGAGATCTAAGGTGCGTTACAAATTGGATCTTAGAGTTAAATGATAGCTGACATTGTTCACATACAAACGGTTTTTCTGTCATATGACTCCATCTAGTTAGATAGCATAAATATTAAACATTTTTTTATATTAAGAATAAACTAAGCAACTAAAATTAATAATAGATAATCATACTTGTGAGAAATGACATAGCTTTTAACTGCAAATGTTTTTTTGCAGATGTCACACGAATAAGGACGCTCGCCAGTGTGCACTCTTTTGTGAATGTTTAGGCTACTCTTTTGAGAAAACTTCTTTAGGCACAAATTACATTGATAAGGCCGCTCACCGGTATGAGTTCTCATGTGAACCTAAAAAAGAATAATAGTCAGTAATATAATTACATGGAGTTAAGATAAGAAAATACTTTCATACATTTATTATTAACAAACAAATCACAAAAAAAATCCTTAAATTATCATGGTAATATGCACTTAAAAACACTAACATTTTATTTTAGTATGCTCTAAAATTGTTCATCAAATATATTAGTGATACATGGATTTAATACATTTTAAGTAAAATTCTAAAATTACTTAACAATATAATTTTACGACACATTGGTAGGTAACATTAGTATAATAGCATTTAAGTTTGCGATCTTTGACAGTGCCGGAGCCATGCAATTCACTATTATTTTTTCTCTATATTACTGAAATTAAAAAGTTGCTGGTAAAATAAAATAGGTAAAAAGACCATCTTAACCAACCAACCACTTTCTAATCAAAATACCTAAATGGCTTAAAATATTATAATAGTTTAAACTTAAAACTTATACATTATACGCACCACATATTGCAACATCTCATATTTGTAATATCAAAATTGAATAATTAAATTAACTTTTTAAATTTTTACTGCTAGAAATTATTTTTATTTTAATACTTTTTAAAGATATTATTACAGCAGGACAATCCAAAAAAATTGTTTAAATATATTAACTAATTGAGGTTAAAACTTTAAAAGGTTAGTTCTATAAAGCAGTTGCATGGCCAGCTATCTTGAATAGATTTGAATGTTGAGCTGAGGCCATTAAGACAGAACAGAGGGTGAGTGTAGTAGATATGAGAATGTTTAGGTGGATGTGCAGAGTGACTAGCAATGATTGAATAAGAAATTAATTCATTAGGGATAGTGTAAAAATGGCAAAATTAAGACAAAATGGGGAATTAAGGTTCAGTATGTTATGAGAAGAGGTAACACGGAGATAGTTTGAGTAGCTATGAAAATTAATATAGAGGGAGAGAGAGGGAGAGGAAGTACAAGAAAGAATTGGATGAACAGAAGTGCAGAATGGCACTTTAGCTGGTATAAATAAAGAAGAGAATGGGAAAGTCTGACAGAGATGTAATACAAGGGTGGCCAACCCCATTAAGTTGGGAGAAAATGAAGAAGAAAATGAAGAGTTAAATTAACTGATTAAAATGCACTTACTTCTAAATACGGTTTACGGCAAAAACAGGCTTCACATTGTGTACAACGGTAAGGTTTGTTGTTCGAATGTGATTTTAGATGTACATAATATGATGAAGTTGATGCTAGAACACGTCCACATATGCGACAAGCTTGAGGTTTAGATCGAGACACCGATGTGGACGTTGGTACAGGAGTACTGGAACTGTGTTGCTCATCACCATTGACTACAATGGACAGGGGTGGACTGCCGCAACTGCTGTTTTGGTCGCTGATCACATTGTCAGCAACTAGGCAAGGCCTTATCTGAAATCAGGTAAAGAAGCACGACCGTTAAGACCGTTCCGTAACGACAGTCTACACGCGAGTATGTAGGTTCTACGATCGCTCTGCGGAACTTGCACCCACCTCGGAATCGACTTTGATGTTCTGCTTGTGCAGTCCGAGCTGTTGCATGTACTTGACAGCGGCATCGTGTTTACCCAGGTACTGTGGCTGCTGCTGCTGAAGTTCGTATTCGGTGGCCGAAAAGTGCTGTTGCGTTTGCTGCATAATATCGTGTGTGGTGTGCGCGTCGTCTGACTAGCTCATTGACATGGTTGATGAACGTCCTAAAATGGGGGCACAAAAAAAAACGAAAACCGATAATCGCACAAATCGTTTGTATATTGTAGGTCCTCAGGTATTTTTATTTTCAACAGTAATATTGTAATCATCAATGTTCATCGACATTATATAATTTAATAAAAGCGGACGCCAATGAGAATAGATCGAACTCACAACTCGGGATCTATGTAAAAACGCCGTATCAGCAATACGGTCGCGGCGTTCGAAAGTCGACGGCCGTCGATACACCGCCATCGACATCATCGACGACGACGGCGACGGCAACGACAAGCGATAAAAACAATACGAAAACGTGCGGCACTCACCTGCTATGGTTGTCGTATACTGTTTGTGTACATTAACGGCACAGAGTCGTTTCGGTGGAAGCCCGTTAGTTAGATTGTAGGAATTAATCGACGACGCGCATTCTCTAAACGATTGTTATTATTGTTTTAATAATATTAATGTTAAATAGTATTTAATTGTAATATCGTATATTATAGTATAATTATTTGTAACGACCAACAACAATAATAATAATAATAATAATAATAATAATAATAAGAGTAATAATAATAGTAATAGTAATAATAATAATAATAATAATATTAAATCAAAATAACACGCGTAACAGACTTAATCGCGGTCTGCCGTCATAAAAAAATATTTATACCGTGATATACACGCATATACATATCATACATATGTAATAATAATATAATATAATATGTATATATACGCACGCATATGTGTATATATATCGCACTCGGAACGTTAACGTGATACGGGGTGTACAGGTATAAACATTATCGTAATAATATATGTTATAAACGTGAATATATGTGTACGATGTGTACGGTGTGTACGTATAGGTAACTGAAGAAGAAAGGAATGCGGCGGCGGCGGCGGCGGCGGCGGCAGCGGTGGCGGTGCAGGCGGCGGTATGGTACCTATGTAGTTCCCGATGGTTTCCGAACGGGGAAAACGAGAAGGAAAAAAAAGTGTATAGTGTATAAATGTAGAAAGAGAAAGAGAGGAGAGAGAAAAAAAGAAGCCAATCGGCGGCGCTGCCGGAGGTGCGGGCCCGGGTCCTCGCCGATAGCGTCTCCAAACACAGTCCGTTGAATGGCGGGGCGGGGGGGGGACGCCGTTGTATTTACGAGACGTTTCACCGACGACCGACAGCCGCCGCCGCCGCCGCCGCCGCCGTCTTTCCGACGATGTTGAACTGGCGGCCGGCGGCGGCGGGCCGCAATAACAATAATATTATTTATAAATAATAATATTGTACAACAATAATATTTATAATAACGTCGTCGTCGTTATTCTCGCAATAAAACTATTGCAATAATAAACTATAAATAATCATAATAAATATTAAACATTTTAACGCGGTCGGCACCGGTCAATTATTGTCTTAATAATATATTTTTGTCGATCCGGGGGGCCGGTTCGTGTACTACCACGGAAATAATTCGGAAAATACGCGACTGTTTTCTATTGTCTACGTTTGTATCGTCAAATTGTACAAGAGACATGAAATATTTATGTACGATTTTCCCATAATTCAAACGCCATCATGGCCCCGGGACTAGACTGTCCGTGTCGCGATCATCAAAATGTTCACGACCAGACGACGTTGGTACCGAGTTTGGCGTCGTTTTGTAACAATTGTATTTTCACTACGTGTTACACTTATTTTTGTGTTCAAACAATACAAAAAAAATCATAGTGGAAATTAAAAACATTTGTGAGCTCGCACGGAGACGCTCAATGCCCGTTCCCGTTGTCAATCGCCATGGAAGAAACAATTACCATGGAACGAGTTTATTGTTTTTAAGGTTATGCCGACGATAATGGAGCGATATTTAAATTTTCCATTTGAAAACGAATTGTGTTACATCCGTCTACCCTCTTCTAAATTCATTTCCTAGATGGACAACGATTTGTTTTTAATATTATAAATTAACATACCACATACCCAACATTCTATCGGATCCGATAACACATGCACAGGTAAAATAGCACTCAATTGATACCAACGACGATCGATCAAGATTCTAAGAGGAAGTATTATTCAAGTTACAACTTACAAGTATGTACGTTCTGCGTACACTATCTAGATTGTTAAATTGTCATAAATGCGCTGTATAATATGCCTATATTATAAAGCTTTCAAATTTAACACAAAAGGTGCCTACTATACTATACTTAAAGTATAATAGTCTTTAGATCATTAATGGAGTATCAATATTATATGAAGGTGTGTTGTTGAGACGATTGCGTTTTTTGGAGGAAGTGTACCTATTTCGGCCACTCCCCGACTTTAAATACAAAAGTGTAAGAAAAATACCGCCTCTGTAAAAGGTTTTATAGGTTGCACTTAAGTCTATATTATACGCTATTGTTCAATGGTGGGTACCTATGCTATGATCTCAAATCCCGTGATTTTTACAGTGTAAAATATTTTGATTATTTGAGTTGTTTAGGCATAAGAAAATGTCGATTTTTATTAGTTTTTTGAAAAAAATTTTATGTTCTGTCAAAAAACATGAAAATTTAATACAAGGTTTCTCATAAGTTGTTAGTGGAAATTGAAAAAGCATTTAAATTAAATTTTTTATGAGTATATAAAGTTCAAATTTTGACAACATATATCTAATTGAAAATTTTGCAAATTATTTCGTATTGAAAAATCCATAAAATGTTAAATTTTTAAGCTAAAAATTTAAAATTTAAATCAGTTTCTCATAAATATTTCATATTGTAACCAAAAAATCTAAAAAATCTAATGCAAACAAAGTTTTTTCCAATAATCCAATGAATACTTTTTAAGTTAAAATTTGATCGAAATCAGATTTTCGAAGAATTAAATAATTGTATTTATTTATTGTAGTTTAAAATTATAACTCTCAAATCATGGACGAGTACTTAAGCTTGTAAAGTATATTATTATATTTTATGCTCACAATGACATATTCAAATGCAATTTTTTGGCAAAAATGAATACTTAATGTGCTGTAATACTTATTCCTAATAGTAAAATAAATTACATTTAATCATTATAACATCATAAAATATACTTAGTACCTAATATTATAGGTCTTTGCTCAGAATCGTTTTTTGCATACGTTGATTTTAAATTTAACACATCCGTTACAGCGTCCCTTTTAGACACCTTTTTGGGTTCACTTTTTTGTACCTATATAATATTAGACTTTTATTATTACGGGGGGGGGGATGGCATACCCCTTTTATCTTAAAAATAATGAAGATATATTTCCTCTTATGAAAATTCCTGTCTACTCCACTGTTTAAAATGTGTATATAAAATATAATGATAAATGGAAAAGTTTAAAATCCTCGACAAAATAATTAAATAACAAATCATTATTCTTCCTTTCAAATTTCAATTTACAATTTCGATAAAAAAAATTAAAGTTGAAATATTTTTTTTAGATTTCTTGGTTCTAGTATTAACTATTTCTGAGGAACTTAGTATTTAGTTTTCAAGACTTAAGTAGCTATTACCTATACAAATTTAACAATAATTAATACATTTGTTCAGCTATAAAATAATATGCAAATTTTCGTAATTTTGACTAATTTTTTCAAAATTTGAGCTTCAAAATGGTAATAATTAAAAATTGTGCTAATTTTTTTATTAATAAAATATATAAAAAAATTCCAAATATCGATAAATAACTTAAACATAGTCAAAATATTTTGAAAATGATACCATGTATACAGTGCGTCCCATAAGTTTGAGACAACCGTTTTAAAATTAATTCTAGTATCAAAATAATTATAAAATTGTGGGAAGTTATTACGATAACACTTATACTCGTCTGGGATCGCCTCTGTAAAAGAATCGCACGCGTTAGGCCAGTTTTGTTGAAAGATCGGTCTTATTTTTTCTTGCTGCACGATAACGCTCCAGCACATACCGCGGCGATTGTCACTCAATTTTTGCAAAAAAATGATTCCAGTACTCGACCACCCCCCGTATTCACCAGATTTGAGTCCTCCGGACTATTTCCTGTTCCCAAAGTTGAAGATGGAGCTCAAGGGGCACCATTTTGCCACCATTGAAACGATTCAAGAATCGGTGACCCAAAAGTTCAAGAACATTCCTAATGCTGACTTTTCATGGGCCATGGGAAAATTGGGCGATTGTGCAAGAAGGTGTATAGAATGTAATGGTGACTATTTTAAATAAAAAATTGCTTAAAACATTTTTTTCTATTTTTTTGTAACATCAGTAACCTTAGTCCCAAAACTTATGGGACGCACTATGTATGGAAAATTTCAATAAAAACATTAGGTGAGAAATTCAAGTATTTATTGTTACTATAGTTTTTGAAATACAACAAAATAAAAGTCTAAAAATAGACCCCCACTATTTTTAGTTTCAAAATTACTTAGAATTTTGATGTTGACTTCCAAAAGGTATTAACTAAATTTATTTTCCTAATAGAAGAGATATTGAAATTGAAAATCAAAGCATTTTTTTCTATTGTGAATCGTGTATAAATGTTTAACAATAACAATTTACTCTAGGATATTTACTCTGTGGAAATTAAAGATATTGATAGATATATTGTGGTTGACTAGATATACTAGAATAAATTAGCCACTTGTAGAGATGCTATAACAATAATTACAGGAGTCAAAAAATTATTAATAAATAATACATTTTTAAATATACCAAAAATAATTTATACAGATTTACCATTTTACTTTGGTACCTACTTATTAATTATTGTTACTACCATTGATTATAAATATTTTTAGGCGCCGCTGCCGTATTGAGAAAGCATTTCTCGCTCGGTTAAAAACTTCAAAAAATAAATGAATATAGGTTGGTCCACTGGCATTAGTAGATTTTTCAGCGGCATACTATTAGTAATTTTAAAGGTACATGGTTTTTATAATCAATGTTTTTAGTTCCGAATAGAGAACGGACTTTATTGTAATAAAAAATATCAAAATATGTAAATATCGAAAAAAAGTACTAGCATTGAAAATTACAAAAAAAAATATTTTATAAATAAAAGTAATACAAATGATGTAGTTTTATAAAATTATGAGTGTTATTTCGGAACATAGAGGTGAAAAACAACATAATGTTGAAGGTTTGCAAGTGAAAAATTACGATGGTTTGGTCGGAGAATACTCTTTATTGACTAAAAGATCATTCTTCGTCAACATATGTGATAGGGGCATAATTCATGTTTACCATATCAGAAGGGGTGAATTCAATGTCCAGAGTTCCTCGTTGATTTTTACTAATTAAAATATCTCTGATGATTTTAATTGTTTGAAATTCAGAATTTTTTCAATTATACTGGCAAATTTTTTTTTAACTATTTCTCCCATGAGCCCTTGAATTTATCTACAGATTTTTCTGCAAATACTTTCTACCAAACACATGTTTTTAGTTTCCAATTGTTTGATTGTCTGAATAAAAAAACAAAAATTTGTAGAATTGTATGTCAAGTTGTTACTTAAATTGATACTTTGCATCAGTGAATTTACTTTTTCAATGGCTGCTGGCTCATTCAGTATCAAAATTTGAAATAACATTTGTATTTTGTCAAAATGATCGCAATAGTATTGGACGACTTCAAGCCACGTACCCCATATTATTATAATAGGTTCAGGTGGTAAATTAAGGTCTGGATACATTTCTTTAAATTTTGAAACACGACTTGGCGCTTTTAAGAATATTTATTTAATGGTCGCTATTAATTTATCAACTTCGGAATAATTACATCTCATTGTTTTTGAAACACAATGAAACCCATGCACTAAACATGTCAAATGAACCATTTTGAAAAAAAATGCAGTCAAAATACTACTGATACAGATAGTGTTTAGTCGTCAAAAATCAATGAAAAAATCAAAAATTACT